AATGAGCAGAAACACTGCTGGGTTTACCTTTGCTGCCTTCTGTGTAATACTAACAAGAGTTATCTTGAGTGCCTGTGAAGGAGGTCAGGAGGCAAGTGTGCCGTCCTCACTATCAAGACCACCCAAGGAGGAGAAAGACATTAACGAGAAAGATAGAGGAGGGATAGCAGGCATGTTAGTAGAGGGAAAAAAAGAACATAGAGGTTTGTTTACTAGAGGAGGGAGAAGGAAAGAAGGGGAGGAGCTAAAACTTTCAATGTGGGAGGAAGATATAAAAGGGGAGGGAGGGAAGAGATTGGGGATTAGAAAAAGAAAGAAGGGGAGGAGCTAAAACTTTCAATGTGGGAGGAAGATATAAAAGAGGAGGGAGGGAAGAGATTGGGGAGCATATTAGAAAAAGAAAGGGAGTAGAATAAAGAGTCAATCAAGGTAGATCCAAGTGGAAAAAAAAATATGAGCAAGTGTGGGATTTGTTAAAGTATTTTCCGAACCTTAAAAATAGGAGGTTTGCTACCTGACCCAGAGATCACAAGAGAAGGAGAGACGATATACTGTATGAAACATTAGAATGGGCAATAATAGTGTTCCCGAGGGGACAGTGATATGCCCAGGTCAGATCTGCAACTCTCCGCCAAAAGGAGGGGACTGGGTGCGTCACCCATGTTGTGGGACGGTGTGCGCAATGAGGAGTGCACCCCTATACAAGATCACTGACCGCAAAAGATTTGGCCCTGCACTGCAGTGAGTGGAAGAAAGATCCTCATGGACTAGTTATGGCCAGTTGCCGGATTTGTCTTGTTTCGACCCTGTTGGTCTAATGTTAGAAACACTGCAATGAAGGAAAAAAACAGTTTAAATCCATCTGACCCTGTTGGTCTAATGTTAGAAACACTGCGAGTTAATGAAGGAAAAAAACGGTTTAAATCAGTCTGAGTCTCTTCTTCCCAATCACTGTGCCACTGCTGTTATCTATGGAAGATCTTCTGCCAGTGTCACTTTCTACTCCTGCTTGCTCTTCAGGAGCTTCTCCACCTGGATCACCACTGGAACTATTCATTCTCTTCTACTGATGTGTGACTGTAGATTGACAGCAAACATGTTCTCTATGTGTTGCACTTTATGCAGCCCAAATGGTGCCATCCATCCATAAGGAGGTATTGAGGGGAACCCCAATATCTGCTTGGGGGAGCAGGATACATCTTTAGGGATTTCCAGACTAACCAAGTGAGGAATGAGAATGCTGTGTAGTTACGGAGTGCTTGGTAGGAGACTATGCCTGGTTGATTAGAAACTTGGTCCATACTACTTTTACCTAGAATAAAGTGAGGAATGAGAATGCTGTGTAGTTACAGAGTGCTTGGTAGCAGACTATGCTTGGTTGATTAGAAACTTGGTCCATACTTTTACCTAGAATGAGGCTTTTAATCCAGAAGGCTTTCAGGCATGCAATCTGAACAGTACTGTCAACAAAGAGTTTCCCACTTTAAGGTATTCCAGAACAAAGATCTGATGGTCAAGCATGTTCCTCTAGTCTCAGGCAGCAGTTAAAACTGGGCAGAGACAAGCCTGCAAGGCCACAATTTCAAAGGGTGAGGAGGTCCAGACCAAACCAAAGGCCTTTCAGGTCCACCATTAGGTTCCTGCAGTGGTGTTAAAACTGGGCAGAGACAAGCCTGCAAGGCCACAATTTCAAAGGGTGAGGAGGTCCAGACCAAACCAAAGGCCTTTCAAGTCCACCATTAGGTTCCTACAGTGGTCAGCCTATTGCCTAAGAAAAGGCCATGAGGGATACAGCTATGCCTGCCACTGCACATTGCCCAATATATAGAGAGGCATACTGGATTTGGTGTAGGAAGGAATGAATAGCTGTCCAGATTAGTAAATGTCAAGTCTACTCTATGTGCAATGATCCTAGTAGTTTTCAAGATAGGTGGTACAGTATATTTAAGGAAAGGTTTTACTAGTGCCACCCACCCCATGGGTTTCCATGGCTGAGCACGGATTTGAACCTGCATCATGCTTCTGAACCCTATTATACTGGCTCTAACCTTCATAAATATATCTAATCTCTTTTTAAATCCCCAAATTCACAGTTCAGCATATACTGCCTGTTGAGGTTCTAGTTATGAGTTTTCAATGGATGAGTTTGTCTCCACTTTTTTCATGTCATGCATAAATGACCTATGATAGCACCTCATATTTGCTTCCTCCCCAGCTAATGAGCCTCAACATGTTACAGCCTTTCGTCATAGGGGACTTGTTCCCAACCTTGATTGAGTGGATCACTTTTATCTGCATTTTTACAGGTATCTATCCTTCCATTTTGAAGGAAATCAACTCTCAGTGTTCACTGGAAGGACAGATCCTGAAGCTAAGGCTGCAATACTTTGATCATCTCATGAGAAGAGAAAATTTCCAGGAAAAGACCCTGATGTTGGGAAAGTGTGAAGGCAAGAGGAGAAGGGGACGGCAGAGGATGAGATGGTTGGACAGTATCATCGAAGCTACCAACATGAATTTGACCCAACTCCAGGAGGCAGTGGAAGAGAGGAGGGCCTGGCGTGCTCTGGTCCATGGGGTCACAAAGAGTCGGACACGACTTAACAACTAAACAACAACAATCCTTCAAAGAGACTTGAGGTTGCAGAAGGAGAACAGATCTGGAGATAGCAATTACAAGTCAGGATTGATGGCAGGAGGCTTGAAGAGAACGCAGCTATTTTGCACTGTGCGCTATAGACTGTAGCCTCAACAAGTTACTCAGTAGTTTTTATAGTACTGTGGGAATAGTGAGGCATGTTGGTTTTGTTAATATCAGATATGGATGTTTGCCACGGTCTAGGCTGTGAAGCATCCTGGGTGAAGATGCCCTAAATGTTTGTAGCTGTGATCACGCTGTATCTAAAACTTGTTTCCTTTGTCTCTGCATGGCTGGTCACCCTGCATGCACTGTGGCCTTTAAAATTGCTGTTACTATAAATAATAAACCTTTGAATTAAAGTGGTGGCGGTAAAATCTCTGTGGTTAGTGAACTATGAAAGTAGAAAGTGTTCTAGATCTTGCCTTTGCTCAGCCATACATCTTCGGAATTAACTAACCTTTTCAAATATTTTTGAATTCAGCATTCGGGTCCACATTCAAGAACATAACCTGCACAGAACAGGAACTAGTTTGACTATTATGAAGTCATTTTGAGCCATAGGTTTGTGTAATATAAATAGTGTGCAGCCTTGCTGACGTAGCACTGAAGAGACTGAACTCTGTAAGCATTGAACACAACAGCTAAAATCCTGTTGCTTAGTGTAGTAAATTCCACTAGAATAGGCCCATTGAATAAGTGGTGTTTTCGTGAATTAGCTCCTTTGTTCAAATGGGCCTACTCTAACTGTAACATACTATTTTACTGTAAGTCACAGTTAGAGCAGGCTTATTTTTTCCGTGGAACATATAGAGGAGATGAGTAATTAAATCCCCATTGATTCAGTGGGTTTGTTGTTGTTTAGTCTCAAGAGCCTCCTCCAGCACAATTCAAAAGCATCAATTCTTCGACAGTCAGCTCTCACTTCCATACATCACTGCTGGAAAAACCATAGCTTTGACTATGCGGACCTTTGTCAGCAAGGTGATGTCTCTGCTTTTTAAGATGTTGTCTAGATTTGTCATCGCTTTCCTCCCAAGAAGCAGGCGTCTTTTAATTTCGTGGCTGCTGTCACCATCCACACTGATCATGGAGCCCAAGAAAGTAAAATCTGTCACTGCCTCCATATCTTCCCCTTCGATTTGCCAGGAGGTGATGGGACCAGTGGCCATGATCTTAGTTTTTTTGATGTTGATCTTCAGACCATTTTTTGCGCTCTCCTCTTTCACTCTCATTAAGAGGTTCTTTAATTCCTTCTCACTTTCTGCCATCAGAGTGGTATCATCTACGTATCTGAGGCTGTTGATATTTCTTTCGGCAATCTTAATTCCGTTTGGGGAGTCATCCAGTCCTGCCTTTCGCATGTATTCTGCATATGAGTTAAATAAGCAGGGAGACAATATACAGCCTTGTCTTTCTGGTATAATTCCACTGTGTATTTTTGCCACCTCTTCTGCTTCTGTAAGGTCCCTATCATTTTTG